AGTGTCGCTGATGTAACATTATACGGTACGAAAAAGACAAATAATTCTCTATCTTCAAGAGTAAAGTGCTCTTTAAACGTTTGTTCTGACAAAACTGAGAGTTGTTCCGGATTGTTCTGTGTCTATTTCTCATTGTTCTAGGTTTTAGTGTCGCTGATGTAACATTATCGGTCGAAAAAGACAAAATAATTCTCTACTTTCAAGAGTAAAGTGCCTTTTATATGTTTGTTCTGGTGAAACTGAGAGTTGTTCTGGGTTGTTCTATTCGTTTTTAGCTTAAATATGTAATTTGGTGTCAAAACATAATATAATAATAGCGATAACTGTAAAAATACTATTTGGACGCTTAATGCTATTTTTTGCTATATCTTTTTAAATTCTTTTTTAGGGGGATTAATATTTTAGAACAATGTTTAGAACAATTAGAACAATCCAGAACAGCAAAAAAATTTGAATTTAAAAAAAATGGGTGGCCACAAAAATAAACTGTTTTTTTGCTTTTCCCGTCATGTTTTTCGATTTTTTTGTTCATAACTTTGGAACAATATAGAACAAACGTAGAACAACCTGGAACAACTAAAAAAATATTCAAAATCGAAAAATGGGGGGCTAACTTCATATAGGCAAGTTTAATATGTGTGAAAAATTAAATACATAATGTTAAAATATTAACAATAAGTTAAGCGATTATATTAGGAATAATCCATACTAGTAAAGTAAATCACTGACGGAAAGCTCATTTTCTAGAATAATATTTTCTTGAATAGATTTTTCGGTTCCATTAGTCTTATAAATTCTTGGTGCCTTTTTATTAAAAAAACTTTTCACCTCATAATGGTCCAAGTTTGCAAATTATAGTTTCATAAATTGGTGTCATAAGGTCCAACGTAATTATAATTACTGTACATTCTTCAGTTTAAAAATCCTCAACTTCTTTAACTGAAAAATATCCAAGTTCAAAGAAGTTTCTAAATTTATATTTCCTCATATTCATTATCTCTACAACATTTTTAAACTTTTTCCGCCTGTAAAATTATCTGCAGTCTCGTGTTTTCAATAGACGAATTTCCTTTTCTCCTTTTAATTATCTGACATTTACGCTGCTGCATTCTATTACGCATTACGAGAGCTGTTTTGCGAATGTAAGCTTCTTTTCATTTAATTATGCCACAGCAAACTGTTGGAGCAAGTATTTACAAATTAAGTGCAAACGCATCCGCGGAATACATTACGTTGTCGCATTATTTCAGATACGTGAAAAAAGTACGCCGTATGTTTATGAAATGTAAGTTTTTGTCTTGTGTTTTCAGATTTCACACTGATTTCGCTAGACGCGAGATAATCTTGCGTTTTTTACTTCCCATAATGTACGGTTGAATGAGAAGAAAAGCCAAAAACGGTATTAATGCTTTCGACTTTTGAAAAACTTTTAAGCTTTCACGTCACATTAGCTTCGAATTTCAAAATTCACATAAACATCATTATTTAACACAACTCAAAACATTTTAATTCGTGTAAAATAAAAAGTTGTCTACTTCATTACATAAATGTACGTGAAAAAACAATCTATATAGGATTTACGTATCAATAAGCACTAAAATTGCCAGCGGTTGTATCATAATTTTCGTCTCGCACGACCCGCTAAATTCCTTGCCGAAAATTTTCCTGGGTAGGCTGGGACGCGAAATTGCACGCCTAATCAATTTGTCGAGTAGCTTCGAACGAAGAAGAGGAACGAAGAGAGCGCCGGGGAAACCTGGAAGGTTAAGGAGGATGGGAGTGGCCGTCATATGAGGTCACGCCACACGGCTATGTGTTATGAAGATTAAAGTGGCACGAAGAAGTTTCCGACGCTCCTGTAAAAACGCTGCTGCGTTAAGTGATGATTGTTCAACCGTCAGATTGATAAGCGATTGAAATTATTTGATCTGCGCCCACATGAAACAGTTTTCGAAAACTTTATTCTTTTTCTCTGTCAATCATTTCAACGGAGCAATTTTTTTTAGCAGGTAAATACGTTTCTAATTAATTTGAGTGCTTGATGGTGTACAGTAAGCATGAAAGAAATTTTAGAACGCTCTTTCTGCAGACTAGAAATAGCAGCAAAACAAAAATATATCTATTTGAAAATGTATTACGAATGTTACGTAAAAATAAATTCTGCAAAAGTATCTATAAAGTTTATTTTGTTTTTTGTTTGTACGGTGTATGTAATAACATACGTAATCGCGCAATTTTACATGTAATTATTGAAACATATTTTTGTTGCGTAATTAAGATACAAACGTCAAAACAGAATTCATAGCAAAATAAAAATATTTTCTATTGCACAGAGTAAACGAAATTAATTCTGCTATCACTGATATCTGCATCAGACGAACGCGACTCACGAATGACACACTGTATCTCATTAATCCATTTTAATAATAATAATAATAATAATAATAATAATAATAATAATAAAAAAAAAAAAAAAAAGAAGAAGAAGAAGAAGAAGAAGAAGAGCAGGTCACCGTACCGGGACATCGATTATCGATTGCTACCTCGGTAATAGTGTCATCCTAATGCGTTATCTACAGTCCACATGGGAGCGGCACGACCGTTCGCCGCCATGAGATAATTTCGCACGTTTCGCGGAAAATATTTAACTATCAATTTCCAGTT